AAGTCTTGCATTGCTTCTCTTGTTGCCCTTCGACTGAAAATTACAACCAAAAGTCACACAATGTGATATCGTATCAGTATTTTCAGTTGTGTTGCGGTAAAAAGCCAAAGACTATAGAAATAAGCGCCAGTAGCTCACCGAGTGCAACCATTTGATGTCATCGACGCAGAATGTACTGTGCACATAAAATAATGGCGCCCCCCATAGTCCAAAAACCATGTCGATTTTTTTAAATAACATACATCTTTCAAGGGGTTTCTACTATATATTTAAATAAGGGACATCATTTACGTTATATTAAGCTATACATGTCTTAATACCCGGGGATCCCTTTAAGTGTTTTAATAGTGCTTCAATCATGCAGTGCTTTACAACTGTAAGACAGGTAGAGCTAAATAAACCTATTACTGCATCTAAACCAACAACATGTTTATTAGATCCAGTACCAACTAAATTACCAAGAGTTGTTATCTATAGCAGAAGAACTGCTTCTCAATATTATTAACTCATCGTTACGCTATAGATCATGACATACTCATAGATCGATTACAAAACTATTTAGAGACAGTCTTTAAGATAGTTTAGATCCTACCTGTCTGATCGTTACTATTTTGTTTATTTAAATGGGAAAGCATCTAAATTAACGCCAGTAAAGTATAGAGTGCCACAAGGACCTGTCTTGGGCCCTCTGCTATTTCCAATATAAATGTTGCCCCTTGGTAATATTATTAGAAAATATGGGATTAATTCGACCAATAATATTCTCACATTAAATTCGGATAAGACAGAGATATTACTTATTGGACCAAAAAACAGTACACAAAATCTCTTAGATTACAATTGGCATCTAGAAGGATGTACTGTTACTTCCTCTGCAGTCAAAAATTTGCTTGTTAGCTATATTAGACAACAACTTGTCTTTTGAAAACCAGTCTTCCCCCACGCTACAATCCATCACACTTCTTAAGGTTGCAAAACTCAGAACGTTTATAGTATCTATATAGCAAAGTCCATTAAAGGTGGTAGAGCATTTTCGCATTTGGCTCCCAAACTCTGGAATATCCTTCCTGATAATGTTTGGGATTTTATTGTCTAAAATTGTGCAGGATGAGTAGCATGAATAAGTTTACTACGTTTGCTCTACTATGAGCTATATTTCATGAGGCTTCATAAATTGTGTCAATGGTTGTCTCAAATACTGAATAGCAAAATCCAACCATTATCTCAGAGGTGCAAACAGTAAGGAATAAAATGGCAACACATTAAGAGTCCTTTTCTTGTAAAAACCTCAACTTTAAATAACTTACAAATCCAGGGTCATTCAGTCAACGCGAATATCTGAGAGTCTATGATGATGGAAAAAATAATCATTCAGGTGGACCTGCAGTGCTGGCAGAAGTTTCACCCAGGTCACTGACATCTCCTCTCATCTCCTGAACTCACTAAGTAGATTCTGGTCTTTGATCCCTAGCTAGTATGTAACACCTCATGCAGAACGCTCCTGGCCACTGATATGAGACATGAACAAGATATTCTGCTTTATGCAAAATGGACGACTGGAATGGAATACTACTATACTGTCAAAGCCCCTTTAGGGCAAGTCAGTCTGCTCAGTGGCCATATTCATGACACCCCCAGGCAACTATTTCCAGCCTTGGAAATACAGCTTGAAAGAGGAAAGACCAAATGCTATAAAACTGTTGGTCAAGTTTACATTCTAATAAAATATTTCAAATAAAGAATAAATTGTATAAACTGTGCTTCTTTGGCTCAAATCATACAAATGAATGGTAAAAGAGACGACTGGTTAATTTACTGTTCTTTAACTAAAGGCGGGACTTCAATTAAGTGTGTGATGCCTCTTTCAAAACTTTATTGGCTTTTAAGGTGAGACAACAGACGTCATATTTACTATTATAATATCCCCCAAATCATACATGTACATGTGGACTCCCTGTTTGATCTATCTGATACTGCACTGGGCATGCATTATTCATACTGCACTGGGCATGCATTATTCATACACTGTGCACAATATATACACATACATATGGCATATTTCAAAAACTGCATGACAGGCATGACTGTATACCAATCTGAACATAATTTACTTGCAATAAAAGATAGGTGCCGAATTATTGTGAGATAATTATTAAGAAATAAACTACTGAATCTACTTTCAAGGTTGTAAATGAGATCACGAAAAAAATATATACTTTAGCCTATTTAGTGCTTTTATTTAATGTATAGAGAGGGAGAAAAATGCCAGACTCGTACCCTCTCCACCTCCATGAACATCATGGCTCAATGTGTTACATGCATTTTTTTTTATATGAATGTACACTATTATTCAAAAGTTTGGGGTCTGTAAGAATAATACTTCTATTCTGCAAGAACACATTAAATTAATCACGTGACAGCAACAATATGCATAAAAAGGCATTTATAATGTTACAAAACAATTCCATTTCAAATACATCAAAAGGTATCACGACTTTCACACAAAAAAAAAAAGCTTAATTATTAGGCAGCATACAGGTATCCGTTTTAAATATTGACAAATATTGATATTGTTTTAAGTTTTTGACCACCATATCAGCATATTCTCAGCTCGGCCTGGTGAAACATACCAATTTGGAAAACTAACGGAATGCATAGTTGGTATAAAAGACTGGATGACGAGTAATTTATTACAGCTAAATTCTGAAAAAACAGAGGTGTTAATTATCGGACCTAAAACCTCCGCATTTAATAACCTAGAACACTGCCTAACACTTGATGGCTGCTCTGTCAATTCTTCATCATACAGGTATCTGTTTTAAATATTGACAAATATTGATATTGTTTTAAGTTTTTGACCACCAGATCAGCATATGCTGAAGTATCATGTGACACTGAAAACTGGAGTAATAATGCTGAAAATTCAGCTTTGATTCACAGGAATAAACTAGATTACATATTAAAATAGAAAACGGAAAACTATAAACTGAATAATATTTCATAATATTACTTTTGTGCTGTATTTTTGTTTTAAAAAGTTTGTGGTGAGCACAAATGTAATATGTTTTATTCATACTTATTACTATAATGCTTGTTTTTCAGTAGATATAGAAACTTACTGTAAGACGACTGTATGGATTTTTAATCGCATGCCCTGATGCATTCTTTTCTCTGCAGTTGCAGGTTTTTTTTTTTTTTTTATATATATTTCAGGCACAGCTAATGTCTCCACATGTAGAGTCAGGGCAGGGAAAGATAACATCTGTCTTAGCTGAAGCTTGTTAAATCACTGCTAGAGCTGCCTCCTCTCTCGCTGTCTCTCTTTTGTGTAACAGAGCTGTGTAGTGTCTGCTAGAAACCATCCGATTCCCCACGGATCCAGCTTATTTGCTTCCCAACCCACCTCAAAATAACTTCCTGCCCACGGACCACACTTCACCTGGCTGCACTTTTGTTTCAGGATCCTAAAAGGAACTGTGTGTGTGTTGGCTGCTGGGCTACAGGTACTGTACGCCTTTATAAATTGTGTACATTGCATATACTTGTACCATATGCAGTAGCACCCTGTTGTTTTTAATGATTACCAAATAGAAGACTTATGAGAAACCATACTGACACACTGATGAATGCTGAATGGAACTGTTACTTTGTTTTCAGTTTTCATGATGTACTTCCTCTGCATCTATAACATTTTTTTTCCCATTTTCCTTTCAATGCACAGTGGTGGCATTGAGTGGTGGCATTGACAGGTTATTAGAACACTAGCATTTTCACCAGCTAAAAAATGGTTTTAAGTCAGTGATTTCTATCTTTTGCTGTAGAAAATCAGTAGGAAATAGGAGTTTATATTTCCAAACATTAATTTTGCCATTAATTGTAATGAGATTTTTGTTTGCACAAGGAGTCTGACCAACAGCCAGTGCTCCACACAGAGATCTGATCTCATCATCATCCAGTCTTGTCTGGAATGACATGAAGAAACAGAACAAACTGAGACAAACTAAATCCAGAAGAACTGTGGCAACATCTCCAAGATGCTTCATCTATCTATCTACTCCATATAGCTAAGATGCCTCTTTCAAAACTTTATTGGCTTTTAAGGTGAGACTACAGACGTCATATTTACTATTATAATATCCCCCAAATCATACATGTACATGTGGACTCCCTGTTTGATCTATCTGATACTGCACTGGGCATGCATTATTCATACACTGTGCACAATATATGCACATACATATGGCATATTTCAAAAACTGCATGACTGTATACCAATCTGAACATAACTTACTTGCAATAAAAGATAGGTGCCAAATTATTGTGAGATAATTATTAAGAAATAAACTACTGAATCTACTTTCAAGGTTGTAAATGAGATCACGAAAAAAAAATACTTTAGCCTATTTAGAGCTTTATTCAATGTATAGAGAGGGAGAAAAATGCCAGACTCATACCCTCTCCACCTCCATGAACATCATGGCTCAATGTGTTACATGCATTTTTTTATATGAATGTCTATCTATCTATCTATCTATCTATCTATCTATCTATCTAGATAGATAGATATACATAATACATATATTATTGCTAGTGTTAGACATATCATGCCTGACATTGTCTCACACAAACACAACAGCCAAAGAGGAGCTAATAGAGCAATCTTATAGAGAGCTTATAGAGACATCTGAGCCAGACAGGAAACAGAAAATACTAAATGTTAATTTGTGCTGCTCTTAAGATATAATCATGTAACTACTTCATAATCCAATCATGTCCAACCTCATTTCATTCATAACTATTTGTTCTCCCACAGTGTGTTAAAATGTGAAGTGGCAGCCCATGGAAGCTTGACACTGCCCTCTACTGCAAACTTTACTACCGGTAAGTTATCTAAATAAATACAGTGCATTGAAAGCACAACAAAAAGAAAGCTTCCCAAGTCATGGTCACACATTATTATTTATTGCAATATTAAGAATCAAATCACATAGTAACGTGGTTGAAAGCTTTTATCAATATTAGAACTTGTCCTGTTAGGCCATTTATAAAAGTAATAGATACTTAAACAGTTATTTAATGTAATAAACTCGATAGAAGTCAAAGTGAATTAATCAAAAAGCACTGCTGGTTATGCATTTGGACATCCAATCCTGGAAAAATGTGAAACATCGACGAATGAACATCAACTCTTGATTAATCCTCAAATTAATCTTGCGAACCATGACTTTGTCTTGTAGACAGTGTTCTCCAATCTTGCAAAGAAAAAAAACAAAAAAAAAAAACATAAATCCATAAAAATTCACGAGTACATCATTGGGCCAACTTCCAAAACACTTACCGAATTCTGAAGGAGAAATCTGATATTGTGCTGTAACAGTCTAAGTGCAGTGTGTGGTTCAGCAGCAGTGTCTTGAACAGTGATTTCTGCTGAAACTAACGTCTTCAGAAGCTCTTGAGCAATGAACTCTTTACAGCTGCACATCTGAAGAAAACAGGCCCAGTCTTGCTCAGATATATGGCATCTCAAACACACAAATTTCACATTTTTCCCCAAAACTCACCTCCCCGCTTTCAATATGCACATTCGGTATGTATATCACGTGTATGTTCTTTAAAAGATGCAGAAAATAATGATTATGTATAGTGTAAATGTAGAAATAAGATGTCATGAATAGGTTTATAAAGCATTGTACTTACAAATGTGAGGAGATGTGCATAATCCATGAGGTCTCGAAGACAATAAAGTGCCTCACGTATAGCGTCATCCCCCCCTCACCCATGTGCTGCAATGCTATAAAGAAAAACAGCACATTTTTAATGATATTTTAAGAAGTCATTTTAAAAACATATTAACACAGTAAAACATAACAAAATAGAAAACAGCTATTTTAAATTGCAATAATATTTCACACTATTACTGTTTTTATTGCATTTTTGAGCATGAGCTTGATGAGCATAAGAGACTTCATGTTTTGAAATGTTATATGAACATTGTTATGTTATGTTATGTTATATGAACTCTTGTGCTCACCAAGACTGCATTTATGTGATTCAAAATACAGTAACAACTGTAATATTGTGAAATATTATTACAATTTAAAATGACTTTTCTAATGGCTGTTGAAAATAAATGTAAAATATATAATAACTATTAAATATATTTTAAGCATAACAGTGTCTTTGAGTATTCCATTCTTTCAATATGTCTTAATTCATCTTTCACAGTTTTCACCTAGCTACTTTGATATTGATTCTATTGACATTCACTTCCAAATGTAGATTCTGTTTCTCTCTCTCTCTCTTTCATGACTCTATTCACTCTATTCGAATGGAATTTCATTTACAAATAGTTCATAGGTTTTAGTGCCTCGTGCGACTTAATCATCTCTGTTTTCTATAAATCTACAGTAACTAGTTGGTAAACTGAACGTCCTTACATTTATTAAACAGCAGCACCAAGTGGATAGATGTGGTATAACAACGACAATCAATTTTAAATAGGAAAATCTGCCTGACAAATTAGGCTAATGTTAATATAAACAACAGAATATGTGATTTTGAAGAATAAAAATAATAAATTAGATTAAATTGTAGTTATTTTGTCGTTTTGAGAAACCACCGTGATGATATCAAACGTGACTCCACAGACCACATATAACAAAAAGCGTGCGTCAAACTTATCTCCTGCTCCACATGGTCAGGATTTAGGTCAAATAAGTTTGTTTCTGGTTTGGAGTACTTGCAGACAAGAAACAGCATGAGAAGGAAGGTTGTGCAGATCTGAGCGATTGTGTGTTTGGAGGTTTGCAGTTGCACCTGGAGACATTGAAATCCTTGAAGAGTGGAACATTCCGACCTTTTCACACATGCTTCATGTTTTTCAGGGCCATATTTACAGACCAAACTCTGGTAGTATTAATGTTTCATACATTGAACTGACAAGGCGGTTTCCTCGGGAGAGTTTCATCTCATGGCATGAGCATTTGATGTGTTTTTATAAGCCGAACGTGAGCTGCTAATAATACACCACATTCGTTCTGAAAGCAATCACAGTTCACAACTACTAAGCTGATATTGGCTATGTTCAAAACAGCTACTACTTCCACAAATCCTGCTTTAATGTGGGCAATCATATGAGTAATACTACAATTAGGCTATTAAATGAAAATTAAATTGCATTTGTGTGTGTGGTCATGGCTGTGGCTTCGGGGGAAATAAGTGAATATCATTATTTTGCAATATTATGTTATAAATATATTTACTTGTATTTCAAGTATTCGTTATTAAATGAAAATGTTCACTGTGCATTTTGGGATTTGTAGTTTCTTGATGTTTCATGTGACGGTGAGTTGAATGCGGAAGCACGTCACTGCGCCGACGCGGGGAAAACCCACGATTGAGTGCGTGCTGCGTGGAGTCAAAACAAACCAAATAACTTCTGTTTACAGACTTGTTTATCCCGTGTGAGTTATTCTAATAAAATGCTATGCCATTGTATATCCCTGTTAATGTTTTTACATCTTTTCTAGCTCAGTCGCTTTGGATAAAAGCGTCTGCTAAATGACTAAATGTAAATGTAGAACGACTGCATCGTCATTATTTGAACGTATTATGAAACTACATATGCCACTTGTCCAAGTAATGTTTTTTTGCAACTTCTTAGGATTATATTAGTATGGCAAGAGATCGACAATATCATTTTCTAGTTGCTGATATTTAAACTGTATAGTTTTAATGATGTGCTCTGATTTTCACTGCATTTAATTGTATATCATTTCAAGGCTACAAGGCAAAGCACTGGTCCAAAATGTCTAAGATCGAAAAGATGAGTATCCTGGGAGTAAGGAGTTTTGGAGTTGAGGATAAAGACAAACAAGTGATCACCTTCTTCAGCCCTCTGACGGTCCTTGTGGGGCCTAATGGAGCTGGAAAAACGGTTTGTATATTGTTGTCAATAAAATGCATTAAAAATGCTTTTATGTTTAAGTTTCACATAGCCAGTATGAAACTTTATGATGATTAAATATTTATATTAAACGCACTTTTAAATAACATTTATATTTAAGTTCTACCTACCAATAACTATATATAATAATAATTTTACATAAATAATAATGAACTATATCTTTTTATGACTTGCAGACCATCATCGAATGTCTCAAGTACATCACTTCAGGAGACTTTCCACCAGGAAGTAAAGGAAGCACATTCGTCCATGATCCCAAAGTAGGTATTTGACAGGAGTAATGCAAGTAAACAAACTGCAAATCTGCATGTGTTAAAGGGATAGTTCACCTATAAATGAAAATTTGATGTTTATCTGCTTACCCCCAGAGCATCCAAGATGTAGGTGTCTTTGTTTCTTCAGTAGAACACATGTGATGATTTTTAACTTTAACCATTGCAGTCTATCAGTCGTATAATGCATGGCAATGGTAACAAAATCTATGAGAGTAAAAAAAAAACATGCACAGACAAATCCAAATTAAACCCTGCGGCTCGTGACGACACATTGATGTCCTAAGACACGAAACGATCGG